ATAACTAATTTCCATGAGTGTTAGCCTTATCAGAAAGCTTGTGAATCCAATTCTATCAAGGCAAAACACTTTCTTAGGCAGTCAATCCCTTGAGCTAAGACAAGTAAATCCTCTAAAAGTCAAGATCAGCATTTCATTAAACACTTGGTGGGAATAAGAGAAAGCCAAAATCTAGATTCAAGTGATCAAGATAAATCTAGCAGAAAAACAGTCTAATAGAGAGGAATCAGTGATATTAAACACTGACAAACATTAATCAAGATAACAAATCCCCATAATCTACCACATCTAAGAGCATAAATAAGACTACTCACTAATCATAGTGAAATCCATCAAATCCATGAAGAAAAATAGGTTAAATATGATTAGGAAGGAAGAATAAGAAAGATTACAGAAATAAGTGCAGAAACTTAGATTAAAAGTAAACTTTGTTCTTACAAATTGCCAAAAGCAAGAGAATAAGGAAGAACAAAAGATAAAACAAAACTCCCTAATGTTTTCGAGTTCTTAAGTATTTATATGGAAAGCGTAAAAACTTTAGTAGAATCACTGATATATCATGGTTTTTATGGTTTTTAACCACGGTATAAGTCCTCTTTATTGAGTCTTTTTGGTTTTTTTAGAGTCCTAGTAGAGTTTTTGCAGGTTATAGCATGTTTGGAGCATAATTGGAGGTTTTTGAGCTTTTTGGAGCATAGCAGAAATCAACCACGAAGTTAGCAACTCAGAACCGTTGTGCTGCAGTGGGTTACGCTCGTCACCACTTATGGGTGATGCTCGTCACCCACCTCTGAAGAAGATCGCGACTTATTTTAAAATATGGAGAAGATATTGCAGTTTTGACCCAGAAGTTCCAGTATTTACAAGAAGACCCCAGCTCGTGTTTTGGCCTGTATATATTAGGTTTTAAGCCATTGTTGGTTTTTATCTTGTATCTTAATTTTCTAGAGAGGTTTAGAGAGAGATTTGAAGAAGAGCTTTTGGAGAGACAAATCAGACTCTTTCATAGAACATTTCGAACTTCTTTATCTTTACTTCTTATTTCTTTTATGCAATCTATTCTATTCATAATGTTTGTTTTATCCACCATGACTGAGTAGTTTGTTAGTTAGGTTAGGATTATTCAAAGGTTAATGAAGATTTTGTAGAATTGCTAAACTGATAGGAAATTCATTGGTTCTTCGTTTGTGCTTGCATTCACATCGATTTCTTAGACACATCATATGAATTTTGAAACCCTAGGTTGTTTAATAGATGTGAGAACATTATTAATCAGCTGAACTCGCATTAGATGAGCAAAACGCCTATTTGCAAAGAGATTTGACTTAGGAGTTTTGTGGACAGTTGAACCTGATCATTACTGCATGTTTAGGTTGTTAGAGTTTGCAAAGAGATTTGAAACTCTGTGATTTAGACATATATAACTTCCGCAATGAGAATTGGTTAGTTATACCTGGCTATTCATGTTCAAGACGGTTTTAATTCTTTCATGATTGCAGGCATTCTACACTCTCGGATTCAACCTGCAAATTGTCCTCACTTAGCGCCTTTAGCTTTCTCAACTTTAAGAACAATCATAAAAACGCACACTTACTTTTCTTTTGCTGTTTCGCATTACATTCATTACTTACTGCTTAGCTTAATCTGAATCTATAATCGCTAGTGTAGTTTACTTACTCCCTTGAGATTCTATAACCCCTTATACTATAACTGCATTGCTGTGGACTTGCAGTATTTTTATTTGGGTAAAACCTGAGCCATGTCAATAGCAAACTTGTAATTAATAGACTTTTGGGCGACGCACATGTCGGGCAAAGTGGGCAACATCGTGGTTGACTTGGCTTTCTGTTGCGTCAGATGTCGGGCTGGTGTGGTCGACATAGTGCTCGATGTATGCAATCCTATTCAATCCAACATCCTCCTAACTCCCTCCTTAGCACCTCAAAAAACCTGAACTACACTCAAAATGCAAGGATGTATGCAATCCTAATCTATATGCATGTTAAGTCTAATAGAGATGCAAATGAGACACTGTGGACTAAAAATAGATGAGATGAAGTGAAAACCTATACTAAATGGAACATAATATGATGTAATAATGCATCATATCAATGGTCTTTGCATAACAGGTTGGAGGCAATTGTTGGTGTTGGGTTTGTCATAAATCTGGCCCACCTAAAAATCCCATTAGGTAATGGGATTAGTGTCCAAAGCATGAAGTCGACATTGTCAGCCGACGAGCTACTAGCACAGCATCGCTCGATCCTTTCTTAGCTCGAACATAAAACTACGAGATATATTTAGAATCAGGAAACACGTTTCTCATCCACGAATCAACTTGATCTGAGATCTACAGAGGTCGTTAGGTCAAGATATTCTGAGAAAGAGATATAAAAGAAGATGAGGATTGAGAAGACGGACATGATAACTTTCGTTCACACACTTGTTACATTGCAAACACACTTTCATTGTAAATTAATTAGTATTGTATGATAGCATTTACATTGACTACACATACATTATATTTCATTCCAATAAAAATGCAAATAAGTATTATTTTTTCGGTTTTACAAAGTATGTTATTCTATAGTTTTATATTTGTTTTACAAAAAGTCAATTTGAGTATCTAATTCAAATTTGTTAATAATATCTAATTTTAACTTTATTATATTAGTGTTAATTAAAAATAAAAACTGTTTTATTGTACTTTTAAAGGATATTATAGAGTTATTTTATAGTTTTTTTTTAAAAAAAATAGAATGCTAGTGTTTGTAAAACAGAGGAACTATGTAATGGCTAAATTTTGAAAGATTAATTTAATTGATTTATAATTTAATCAACTTTTACTATTCGACACTACAATTTCCTTTGGCTAGCAGATTTATTCGTTTGTGTTTGTGTTTAAATTTAGCCAGGACCATAAAAATTATTTTAAATAAGTAAACTTCACTTCGACACTTTTGCCACACAAAACAATTACAAATATTAAACTTCTTAAAACCAGTTTTACTACTTGACCCTATATTTCGCATTGACCAGCAGATTTATTGGTTTATGGTTTTGTTTAACTTTAGCCAAGACTGTATAATTTATTTATGGATAAGAAAAAAAAACTTTTACCAAACAAAAAACTATAAATGTTACACTTTTGATTCATTTTGATTCATATGACTTAAAAACATTTTTTTTCAAAAAATGAATTTTCTTATTGCTTTAATCTTAGTTATTGCCATGTATTTTGGATCGAATGAAGCAGCACAATGCAACAACGCCGCAATAGGAATTCAAAACAATCTACCTAATCGTAACTTGACTGTTCATGGCGGCACTGCAAATGGTATGTACCATTTGAAGGTAAATGAGAAGAAGATCTTCAACGTTAATCTCAGCGGAACGCGTCCAGGGGTATTAATGATGATTAATTTATTTTATCGGGACGTCGTCGACAACTCATGGTGGTTTGACCTGCGGGAACCCCTAAGACCCCCTACTGGTCCATGTAACGAGTTACGCTTATGGATTGCCAATGCTACTGCGATTTACTTTAAGCCAACTGGAAAACCACAAGTTAGATTTGGTAATTGGAAGATACAACGGTAAGCTATAATATAATCACAAAAAGTATGCAATATTATTTTTTTTTTGTTTTTTTTGTTTTGGAAATGGTTAAAGATATGATTTATAATTATTAACTCCAAATGAGAGATTTTAAGTGTGTTTTTTATATTTTGAAAAACCCAAACAATATAATAATATTTTTTTTTTAATATTGATTGAGAAACATGTAAAAGATCCTCAATAAGGTTGCTTTTAAACAAGCTGCAATGTTTTAACAACAAAGAATGAAAACCCGTAAGACGGTGATGTGAGGTAACAAGGAAAGCAAAAGGATACGAAAACAAACAGTTGTTTAAAAACAACAAATGTACGAAACTGATATGGTTTCTATGTTTCATTAATTAAAAGCAACTTAACATAATCAAAAGCTACACAAACTATCGTTATCATTTCTCTCAAAGCAATTGTGGTCTCTCAAATCATTCTCAAGCCCATACGGTCAACATTATACCAGCCATCACCAAAAAGGCCAGAGGAAAAGTGGATTTTCACAATCCACCACGTCCTCTTCCTTAAGCATCCTGAGTTGGAACTATTGTGGGCTAGGAAACCCCACAACCTAACATTTTATTTTTCTCTTGGACATGAAAAATTCTGATGTTTTCGTTCTCAAAAAGCTTTCAATTCGATTATCAGAAACTAGTCTTTACACATGACGGGGGGGGGGGGGGGGGGGTGGAGAAACTATTAATTCTGAATCGCACTATGCCGATACAGCTCAGGAGGAGTACTGGCTGTAGCGCAGTAGACAACTATAGTTACCACTAAAGGATAAAAACACAGGTTATTTTCATACAAAAAACAAGAACTACAAGAGCCACTAATAAATTCTCTATCATCAAGGACTCTTATGGGAAAGCTTACGTTAAGGGATAATAAATAACAGCAGTTATCACCTGTATTATAGCTAGGGCTCATTCTCTAACATTGCACAAAGGGTCCTCTATAAGGCTATCCCTGCTGTTGGAACTTCTAATTATGTCTCTTGCATTGCTGAGGCATGATAGAAAAGTTGGTAGATGTTTTTGAGGAGAAACATTATGATAGAGATAGAGTCAAAGGCGGAAACACACACAAGAGCATAGGGGATGTTAGTAACATGGCCAAGGTGAATGAGAAGGTGGAGAGCAAAAAGATCAAGGGAGATTCTCAAGTGACTTTAATACCTCAGAGTTGTGATGGGAACAAAGTTGAGTATAAGGTAAAGTGCAAAGGAATCCCAAAGCCTTTCTCTAAGTTTTGAGCAGTTCTTACAGCTGGGATAAAGGAGAAATGACAAGATGCTGTGAAATAGATAATGAGCAGAGTATTATAAGCTGTTTAATATTATAAGCTATTACAGGCGGGCCCGAGTACACAGAGAGTATTTCCCACCCAAAACCACGTGGTAAAGCAGATCTAAAGGCGTCATGTGATGACTCGAAGTTCTCTTCCTCTGTCTTATAGTACTGAAATTCCTCAGGCAAATAGTTCTTGAGCAAAGCGTTGTAACTCCCAAGCTTAAGCGTTTCTTCAACTGTTAATCCTTCTCTCCCTAATAAATTAAAAAACCACTTAAATTATTTGTTTGGTAATTGATCATACCGATTAGGTGTTTGTGGTAAATATTACCATTGACAAAGAGCTTAAACTTGTCAGGGTTTATAGTCTTGAAGTCTTGTAAGCGGATCTTGTGTCAGAACTCCATCTCCCATGACTTGATCGCGTTTTGAACCGTCTCTTCTAACGACCCTTCTGGCCATACTTGCGATCAAAACCAAACACAAACAACTACAATCAGATTCTGATTATAAACTTAGAACATACAGTACATAAATCAAACATAAGTTAGCCGAAGGACCTTGGTCTGGCCTTCTTCAAAGAGCTGGTTCACAATATCGAAGGCTGGAGGGTTACCATACCTCCATTGGACCTGTCCTGCATCTTCAAGGATAGATAAGTACTTATCTCTCTCTTCTCTAGTTGACATATTGGCTTTTGATGTAGAGAGAGTTATGCTTGTTTGTCTCTTTTATAGTCTCATCACATTACATGTTGTTAATATTAACAAGATAAGAGTTTTTAGTGGAATTACTCATGAAAATAATACTCTGCTCATTATCTCTTTCACAGCATCTCATCCTCTCTCCTCATCTCAGTTGTAAGAAATGCTCTAAACTTAGAGAAAGGCTTTGGGATTCCTTTGCGTTTCACTTTATAATCCTGCTTAGACTTCCTAGGATGCTTAGGGAAGGGTGTCTTGGGTTTATAAGCTTGTTCCTTGCCATTATTTGTAGTTACAGGCGAAGCAGCTTTGTTATGGGGTTGGTAACGATCGTCACCAGGAGGTGATGCTCGTCACTGACTATTGAAGACCCCCGATTCCTTTGTAAGTTGGTGATGATCGTTACTCCTCCTTGGTGACGCTCGTCACTCAACTCTGAGACTGCAAAATTTTCATCTTTAAACTCCATGAGTTACACGATCACCTCTGCACTCAACCTCTTTTTCAGAACTGTATTAAGCTCCTTTTCACTCTTGACTGTGATGGCATTAACCTGGTGCTTGGGATTGATATCAGTCCTTCCAGGAAGGAATCCCTTTTGCCTTTGAACAGCTCCTGCAGTTTGAGAAACCTGGACATCCAGCTTCTTCATATGAGAGTTCAGACTCTCAATTTTTCCATTCTGGTCTTGGTACAGCGAATCTAACTTGCCATTGAAGTCCACTGTTATCTTCTGCTGTCCTTCTAGGATCTTCTCCAGCATAGCTTCCATCTTGTTGTTTTGTGGATGTGCAGTTTGGTAAGAAGAAGAACCGTAGTTCATGTTGAAGTTGCTGCTGTTCTGGTAAGGTTTCTGGAACTAAGTCTTCTGGAATTGAGGCTTGGGCGTGTAACCAGAAGAATTCTGGTTTCCTGCGAAGGTGCTCTTCTGATTATTACCATTGTAACTACTGATTGCTGATTTCCAAACCTTTGACCCTGAAATCCTCTAGCATTGATGAAATTAACATCTTCCTGCTCAATCTCCTCTGGATTTTCGAAAGTCTCTACTTCTGCAGCAAAGTGGACTGATTTCTTTCCCACTAAAAGGTTGTGCATAGTGTCCAGCTTGGCCTTAATTTCAGCAATTTGATTTCCATTAATCAAACCAGCCTTTTTCATCCTCTGAAAATCAGCATTCTTGGTGTTGTTACTGCAGGCCAAGTTTTCAATCCAAGTGATTGCATTTTCTGGAAGGTTTGTGTTGAAGTTGCCACTGCTAGCAGCATCCAATGCCATCTGGTATTTCCAATACATTCCACTGAAAAAGATTCCAAGCAGCAGCACCTGAGTGAAGCCATGATAAGGATAGTCTTTCTAATAGGACTTAAATCTCAACCAGGAAGCCTTATAAGCTTCGGTAGGTCCTTGGAAGAAGGAAGAGATTTTCTATCTTAGCTCTTCTGATCTAGCATCATTATAGAAGTTGTTCAAGAAAGCGTTCTTGGTGTCCTCCCAAGTGGTTAACGAACCAGGCTCCAGTTGCTTCAACCAGTAAGCTGCATCTCCTCCAAGAGAGTAAGGAAAAAGCTTACAGAACAGGAAGTCATTGCTAACTCCATTAGCTTTGGCACTTGAAGCCTAATCCTCAAACCTCTAAATATGATCCATAGGATGCTCATGTGGCAAGCCATGGAAAGGATACTGTCCCACCAGCTGATAATAAGCAGGCTTGAGCTCAAAATCATTCCTCTGGAATGCAGGAGGGCGGATTGCAGCTCTATTGGCATAGAACTGGTCAGGTCTGTTGTAATCTCCTAGAGTCCTCTGAAAAAAAATGTCCAACAGTGTTGTTAACAGCAACAGGAGCTCCAACATCTTGTGCCACTTGTTGAACCGCCTGTTCAACTATGACATTCCCATCTTGATCCAGTCTCTGCCCTTCTTCATTCCTCATGTTTCCCTATCTGTCAACCAAGTGACCTTCTGCATCTTCAACGAAGATTAGTGGAGCAACCATTGTAGACTGTTTCTTAGCTTTTCTGATGGTCCTCTCCAATATAGCGAGTTCGTCGATACAAGCTCCTTCTCTTTGTTGCTTCTGGTACTGCGATTAGGCATACACCTGAAACCAACACAAAGAAAAGTAGTAGAAAGTTAGTAAACAAATTAAAAACTTAGACAAAATCCTAATACTAAAATCGATAGGCAGCTATTACTCCCCGGCAACGGCGCCAAAAACTTGATAGGGCTCAGGTTTTACCCAAATAAAACTACTCCATGTGCACAACAAAGCATTTATAGTATAAGGGGTTATCGAATCCCAAGGGAGTAAGTTAAATATACTAGCAATTTATAGATTCAGATTAAGCTAAACAGTAAATAATGAATGTAATGCAAAGTAACTAAAATTATGAAAGCAGAAGATTTTGATTGATTTTAAGACTCAGAAAACTAAAAGCAGGTTCAATCCGAGAATGTAGAATGCACGAAATCAGGAATGAATAAGAACCGTCTTGAACATGAATCGCAAAGTTATAACTAATCAATTCTCTTTGCAGAAGTTAACAATGTCTAAATCACATAGTTTTAAATCTCTTTGCAAACTCTAAAAACCTAAACATGCAGTAATGATCAGGTTCAATTATTCACAAAACTCCTAAGCAAAATCTCTTTGAACTAAGGCATTTTGCTCATCTAATGCTAGATCAGGTTTTCAATAATGCTCTCACATCTATTAAACAACCTAGGTTTCGAATTTCCAGATGATGTGTCTAAGAAAATTGGTTTTAAAGCAAGCACAGATGAAGAAACAACATATATTCCTAACAGGTAGCGATTTATACAAACTCATCATCAACCTTGAAAAGCCCTAACTTAACTAGCAGATTACTCAGACATGATCATGGAATCAGAAAGCATAGCTGTATAAAATTGCACTGAAAGAATAGAATAAAATATAAAGGGGTTCGAAATCTTCTCCAGAAGAGTACAAGATCTGTCTCCCCAAAAGCTCTGAATAAAACTCTCTCTAAAGCTCTCTGAATTCTAAAGTCTAAGATAAAAGCAAACAATGGCTGAAAACCTAATATATACAAGCTAAAACACGAGCTGGAACACTTTTGTAAATACTGGACATTCTGGGGCAAAAGTGCAAATAATCCTCCATCTTTTAAAAACAAGCCATGATCCTTCCCATCTACGGGTGACGAGCGTCACCCACTTCAGTATTCACCTTCTGAGTTGCACACTTCGTGATTGTATCTTGCAATGCTCTAAAAAGCTCCAAAACTCCCAATTATGCTCTGGACATGCTATAATCTGCAAAGACTCTACTAGGACTCTAAAAAGACCAAAAAGACTCAATACAAAGGACTTATATCATGGTTAAAAAACATAAAAACCATGATATATCAGGATGATGAATGCAACAAATGGAGAAGGGATGCTTGAAAAATGTGTTAAATACTTAAGCAAATTTTGTATATTTGGTCAAGAGAGACAAAAGTGAATGAATGTGTTAATGCAAATAAAGCAAGAAGATATTTATAGAAAAAAATTGTGGGATTTGAGAGAATAAGGGGGGATCTTTCAAAATTAAAATTTGGAAAACCATGTTTTCGTGCCAAAGGGAGGAATATTACCTGCACCAAGTAGGCACCCACGGGCCCAGCTCAATTTGTTGATTTGTCAAAGTTTTCACTCATATCGAATCGAACAGGTCCACGATGCGTCTGCTCGATGTGTACATGGCTGGAGACATCAGTCTTGTGATGCGCACTGACATGTACCGGGGTTTGCATCAGGTGGGTTTTTGGTCTGGATCCTCATGAATCGAGCAGAGAAAAAGTGGTCCTCATCGGTATATGTGCACGGTGCAGCGCCAAAATTCTATGGACGTCGGGTCCGTACAGTTGCATGGCTTGGTGCTTTCGGACGTCATGCATCGAGCAGCCCATATGGTGCCCAGCTCGGTGCGGGTGCACGGTTTGGTGTCTTCGATGGATTGCACCTTCAGCTCTTGCGAGTCCCCCATAAGTCTGTGTGTTGCGTGTTGCACCAAACAGATCAAGAGGTTGTCTCCTCAATGTGGTTTTTCGGTGCAGTGGTTGCTCGCCGAAATTGTACTCCGGTACACCTGGAAAATAAGGGGGTGTCGGATGAGTTTGTACCGTTGAGGCTAATGATACCCTCCATGGTATGATGGCCATCGTGTAGGTCCCTTGGTGTATAGCGTGCCTTTCGGTACAATCGCCATCTTGGTGGTCCCTTGGCGTACGGCATGCCTTCTTTAGACCATCTCCAATGTGTTTCTCTATTTTTTTCTCTAAAATAGAGGTGCACTTCTCTCCAATATGTTCCTCTATTTTTTCCTCTAAAAAGAAATATTTTAAGAATATTCTCTTTATAATTTATTATTAACACTTTCTTTCCATAAAATTCATAAATTAACCCTATTTATATTATTGTTTACAAAAATTTTCATAGATAATAAAAATATATTAAAATTAAATATTTATTTTGTAAAACAAAATCCAAAATGACTATAGTAGTTATCATTTTCTATAATTTTCAAAACATTTATTAAATCACTATAGTATTTGTCATTTTCTTTAATTTTCTGTATTTTAAAAAAGTTATTGTAATTTATCATTTTATTTATAATTTAGTTTGAAATGAATGAGAATTTTCCAACTTAGTTATATTATATGTTCACAAAATTTTCTCAGACCATAACAAAAATTATTAAATTTATTTATTTAATTGGATTTTTGTATTTAATAACATACAAAAACTGTAGAATATAATTTTATTGACGTATTATTGTACATGTGTATACTATATTGCTATTCATGTATACTATATTGCTATTCATATTCATTTTTTTATCGGGGATTAACTATTTTCATTTATAAATTATATAGTTAATTAAAGTAAATAATGTTTTCTGTTTTTCTATAATAGTTATTGTCTGAAATGATGTTGATTTTATTATTTTTTATTAAAGTTATTTAACATTATATAGTTTAATTAAATTTATATGT